TCCTTTGTTAACCCCATCCCATTTCCTTTCATATTCATCAGAGTTAAACAGCATTTCTCTTCTCTTTCTTACCAGTCTCAGTCTTGCAGCCCAAATTTCAAATATTTGCCTTATCCACACTAGCAGCAGATGGCACAGACTAAAAGGTCATATCACTGAACGGTTAGTGTTTTGTCACAGTATTGTGTTGACTAAAACATGCTGCTGTAGTTTCTGTTACTACTGCTACTATATACAGTCAGTCTGTTATAGTTTAATATAAAGATGCATTAAGTGCATTTCAGAATATGGTTTCTGCGTGATAAGAGAAATTCATCCCATAGAATTCGTTACTGAAATGCATATAAATGAAAGATAGAAATGATATGAATTAAGTGACCGTAATTCATAGTGACCCATGTTTTTACTGGCATCTGCAAAGGTAATGTATTTGATTTTATAAATTACAGATGTCTTTTTTCCTATGAAATCCTCTTGGTGGGAAACTCCAATATTTTAAATAGCTTGACTAAGTACTGAAAAAAAACCTGGCTGTTTTTAAATGATATTTTAAAACTAGTACAGACTGTAAATAGACTATTTATAACAGGATGCTTTGTGTGTGTTTAAACTTTGTCACGTCCTCTAAAGTGGGGGAAACGCCAGCATGACATTCCTGTTAGTCACTCACAGGTTTTAAAAACTGTTAGTGTTACCCAAAATATTTTTAATTCTTAAGATACATTTGTATAAAACATTACTGATTTCTGATAGCTGTCATTAGTTATTTTACTAGTACGGAAAATAGACTGCATTCTTGTAAAGAAAATTTAAAAAAAAGACAACAAAACCCCCTCTGTAAAATATTCACCTTGATTTCAGCTTCTTTGCCAAGGAGTAGCAGAAGTGCTCTCTTAGCAAGGTTAACGTCTATCCTTGATATTCACGGCAGCATTAACATAGAGGGGTAAGCTAAGCCTCTTCTCAGCAGCCACATGCAATGCTGGGCTTAAATGCTGTGCTCTGGACACACACCATTCCCTCTCAGCAATGCCAGTGGTAAGACTCCCTTCAGCCTCCTGCCATCTATGACTTCTAACCACCTCCATTGCCTCTCGAGTCCAATTGGTCATTAAACTGAACAGTGTCCTGCAACGGACCCGCTTTTAAGCCTTGTTAATCCTTTACTCACTCAGCTATTTAGTGACATTTCACTTTGGGATCAGTAGCTTTCTTGATAACCTGATGCCTTACTTTCTCTTTTTACCCCTTTGGCTACTATCTTTGTACTTCAGTAAAGCACCAGAACACATTATAGCTTACCATCATTCAAGACTTGGCATCTGACTCAGTACTGGTTCAGCGTTAGGTTCAGAATATCTTTGGCCAACAATATTTGTTCAAGTATGACAATGAACAAAAGGATCTTTAAAAATGTCAAAACCTGTCCAAGTGACGAAAGATTGTCAAGGGCAAATGGCTACTGGTTTTAATGCCATCTGCATTTGAATCTGCCTCAATGTGCAAATAGGGCAGCTATGCTTGAAAATACTGTCTTCAAAAAACATTAGATCTTCTCCACTGAAGTGGACATGAAGTTTTGAGCAACACCTCAAGGCTTCTTTTTTTATCCTTAGCTGTAGAACTACAATTTTCCCACGTGTTCTGGTAAACAACATGGCAATATCTCCTAAAGTAAGTTTGTATGTAAACTTGCAGGTATAGAAGTCTTTAAAAATAGAAATTCTGTCAGAACGCAGTCCACCAGATCTTAATCCTGTCTAATCCTTTGGCAGGACCTTATTTTAGGCAATTTGTTTCACAGTCATTCCAAATAATTTTTTTAAAGTAATTGGATGGTAAACAAAGTGAGATTTTCTTTGCACACCTTGTGAAACATGTAACTATTGCTTCTGTTGTTAGGTAAAAGCGGGTTTAATATACACTTGATAGTGAGAGGGGCAGTATTTTAAAAAATAACTCTCATTAATGCCTGCCTTCAAGGGAGCAGATTTTTAGACTGCAGACAGAACTCCCTCTCTGAAAATCAGATGCTTTGCAGTGGACAAACATCCAATGCCCTTCACACTGACATCAAGACATTCTAATATTCAGTCATTATTAACACTTTAAAGTCCTGGCCAAAGTATCTGGCATTATGCATATTAGTCTTGTAAGAAAAAGCTCATGATAAAATGAAGTGGATCTCTAAGCATCACAACAATTTTAAGTCATAGCAATAACTGAGCGGAAATTAATACTAAGGTAAATCCACAAAAATTTTGTATTTCAAGAGCCACACAAGCAGCAAGACTACATTTTACCCATTCAGATATATCAACTCGTATTGCTTCAATACTTTTTTCTCAGTTAATTAAAAACATTGGGTATGTTCCACTTAAAAATATGTTTATTAAAAAATACGGTAAATTTTATAGAAGCTTTCTGTGTAATTGTTAAGCATTTCTTGAATACCGTTGATGTGACCCAAAAGTGGAAAACCATTCATTCATTTCCTAGGAAACATTTGATCTGAATCAATTACTATTTCATTTTTACTTTGGGGTTATTTTAAAGCCTTTTAGCTGTGAGGAAGCTTAGAGGAGACGTCCTAGATCTGAAAATCCCAGAACAAGTGCTGCCAACATTTTGGTTGCCAATACACAATGCCAGTGTCTCTTGTAAATGAACAAACAGAAGAATAATGTAAATGCTTTGGGGCTTCAAACTAATCTCATTGTTAGAACAAAGTAGTCTTTGTCAGCCGCAGTAAAAATTTTTGTAACACTTACATTTTGAAAATCCTGAAGATTAGGTAATATTTACAATGCAGCTCATTCTCAGCTACTATGCAAGATGAAAGATTACATTCCAGTACTGTAGTGAATATGCATCCCTTTTTAAATCCAAATGTCTTTTAAAATACCCGATTGCGTAGAATTGTCATAGAATCGTTTCGGCTGGAAAGGACCTTTAAGATCGTTGAGTCCAACCATAAATTTGTGTATCTAATTACTAGAAGCATTTGAATATCTAAAAGAAGGAAGGTAAAACTGTGCTCTTTGTTTATAAAGGAGATAAAGAGTTCAGTGTAGGTTGATGGACTGAGAAAAGTTTTGTTGTCCCCACTGTATCCCTTCCACCTCAGGAGGGATCCATACAATGCAGATGCAGTAGCTTCGTGCTCTTCAGTTTGATCCCTGTGTCACCCTTACAGATAACAAAATTCTTTCACCTTGTAAATATTTGAAGAATCGGATCTTACCACAAAATTTCAGGGTCTTACCACAAAATTTCAGTATCTTCCCTTCAACTACAGAAGCTGGGTAACTAACAAAACCAGCTCATGGCAACAACCTACAGCAGAATGCCCACCTGAAGAGATGGGAATCAACCTCTCTAGCCCAAATAGCCCTGCCTCCCAACAGCAGAGCTCTCTTTCTAGTCCTTTTGCTAGAGATTGGATAGGAGTGAGGGAAGTTTAAGGTGTTTCTCTGGCCATTAGCACTTATAATTGCCAGTGGCAGGAGCAGTCCTCCAGCACTCTTTTGACTCTGTTGAACCTTTTCAGTCTTGTTCCATTTACCTGCAACAGAGAAGGAACCTCAGAAGCCAAAGAGGTACAGCAAGATGCACTTTTGGAAATACTAAAACACCCTCATAAAACTTACCGATCCTTCTGCAGTTGTGCAAAACCCATGAGGACCGCTTACTAATGATTCTTTTCTTCACCCACCACCACCTCCCTCTTACCAGCACAGCTCGTTATTGTGTTTACTGCAGGCTTGGCATACACTAGTGAGAAATCTTGTGTCAGATTTGGCAGCTGGACAGCTTTTCACAGACTGAAAGTTAGATGGACACAACTCAGTTTGTACAAAGACTCACTGGATCAAATATAATGACATCCTTACAGTATATTACTGTTAATGGAGTCTAACTGCTTTATCCCTGACAGCCTCTTATTAATTATTATACTTTTGTTTGTACTGTAGGCCTCAGTCACTTGTGATCCATACCTATGAGAAACACCAGAATGCAGGGCTGCAGGTGATGTGCCTTCACCTGTTTCTGAATAGCCTTGATACATATTGAAAAAGGATGGCATTTTCTCATAAGTGAATTAAATCCTTTTATTGTTGAAATAAAAATGTTCAGTGCCATTGTGAATAATAGTTGCAGTTATTATGTTACGCTTTTATTTCCCCTGAAACAAACACAGATGTGCCAAAAGTAGATATGCTGTAGAAATAACAAATGCTTATAACCCACTGAAGTGACTGAATTCAGTGTTAGTTTTATTCATCTGAATAGCTGAATTAATTGCTGAACACTATTAACCTGCCATATTTAGAATGGAAATGTGTACATTTCTATTTGCCTCTGATATCCTGCTTGCTTTGTAGAAATTCTTACTTCTTTTTTGCATTAGCTGCACTGCAGCCACACTACTTTTCAAAAAAGCATAGCAATAATTAACAAGGTCTTATTTAAATTTTTTCATTAATCAATAAGGATCCAGCCTTACCTAGCAGAAATCCAACAAACAGCTAGGAAGCTGAAGTTTTAGTTTGCATTTCCATGTTCTAATTCAGCTGATGAACATGGTATGAGCCACAAAAAGACGTTAAGAGAGAAAATCTTCAGAAATGTAGCTTAGACAGAAGCTTAGACAGAAGCACAGACAATTACTTCAGATTTTCAGCACACCACTGAATAGCCTAAAAGAAATCTCATTTTCCTGATCTGCTCTGTGCTTCCCCAGAAGGTGTATGCCCAAGTACCATACTGAACCTGTATATCGCTTGAAGCTTGGAAAGGGATGACATTGTAAAGTTGCTGTTCTCTTGCTCTGCTGACCCATATCCCGCATTTTTTTTACTGATATAACATCTACCATTTCTACAGATCTTGTTTGACTTTGGTTAAAAACAATTAAGTAAATAGATGACCTGATGTTCTACACAGATGTGGAATAAGTTTACTTTGGTGCCATGTCAACAGCTGATGTATTGTTTTATTTTACAGGTCATGGACTGTGCAATGCCTCTGATTGGTGAGCACCAGACTGAAGACAGGCAACATATAACTGATCTAGTCGTAAGCAAAATGAACCAAATGTTGTCCAAAACTCCTATACCATCTCCTCAGAGACCCACTGCCACTCAGCAGCCTCAGGTAGGAAACCTTTGTTTTTAAAACAGACCATCTTATTCTGTAATTTTTAAGCTTAAAATTTTCCTCAAAGAATTTGGCTGGAAAACTATGCAGACATACCCTGAACTACCAGGATTCAAGAACTTATCAACATGTTTTCTAGGTTTGTCATATTTAAACGAGATTATCTCCAGCTATAATTGAGAAGTGCAAGTGTTGGTGTGTTTCTACCAGTAAACTGGTAACTGTGGATTCAGTGAATTACCAGGCTTTGTATTGTTCCCTTTCAGTTGCATCTCTATAAAATATCATGGAAATAATAAGAAGCACTGTCATAGACAACATTTTCCCTGAGGACATCAGAAAGAATACTAAGACAATAGTTCTTTTTTATGTGCTGAAATTCATGAAAATACCTTACAAGTCTAGGAAACTCCTGAGATGTGTTAAGCATACTAGAAAACTTGTGTCAAAGGTTGTGAATAGATTCGTTTCACTTATTTTATCTTACATGGCCTGATAGTTAAAGTGTGGGGATGCAGAATTCTGCCCCTGGCCTCGCTACCAGCTGGCTTTCAGACTTTGGAAATCATCTTTGTGTTTCCGTTTCCTTGCTTACAAAATATTCTGTTGCTTAACTGATTACCATGGAGCCGTGTTGGTACACAAATAAAATGAATTTTATTTTATTGATCCTTTAAATAACTTCTGAGAGTGTGGTATTTTTGTAAAAGGCTCTAAGAACGTAAAAGTTTTGCCTCTAAATTGGAAACATACAGATTTGATGGGTGGACTATTAGATGGATAAGGAATCAGCCTGGTGGCCGCATCCAGAGTTAAAGTCTACAGCTCAGTGTTCAAATGGAAACCAGTAACAAGCAGTGTCCCTCGAGGGTCTGTACTGAGACCAATACTGTGTAATATCTTCATTAATGACATACATGGTGGCATTGAGTGCACCCTCAGCAAGTTTGCGGATGACACCAAGCTAAGTGGTGCAGTCAGTACACTAGAGGGAAGGGATGGCATCCAGAGGCTCCTGGAGGTACTGATGAACGAAAAATTGGTTATGAGCCAGCAATGTGGACTTGCAGTCCGGAAAGCCAACCGTACCCTGGGCTGCATCAAAAGCAGCATGGCCAGCAGGTCAAGGGAGGAGATTCTGCCCCTCTACTCCACTCTGCTGAGAGCCGACCTGCAGTACTGCCTTCAGCTCTGGGGGCCCCAGTACAGGAAAGATATGGACCTGTTGGAGCAGGTCCAGAGGAGGGCCATGAAAGTGATGGAAGGGCTGGAGCACCTCTCCGATGAAGAAAGGTTGAGAGAGTTGGGGTTGTTCAGCCTGGAGAATAGAAGGTTTTAGGGAGAGTTTATGGTGGCCTTTCAATACTTAAAAGGGGCTTATAAGAAAGATGGAGAAAGACTTTTTACCAAGACCTGTAGTGACAGGACAAGGGGTAATGGTTTTAAACTGAAAGAGGGTAGATTTAGATTGAATATAAGGAAGAAATTCTTTATGATGAGGTTGGTAAGATACTGAAACAGGTTATCCAGAGAAGTTGTGGATGCCCCATCAGTGTTCCAGGTCAAGTTGGCCAGGGCTTTGAGCGACCTGGTCTAGTGAAAGAAGTCCCTGCCCATGGCAGGAGGGGCTGGATTAGATGATCTAGTGGTTAGATCTAGTCTAGACCTAAAGGTCTGTTCTAACCCAGACCATTCTACAATTCTATGATTCTTTGAAAAGTGCTATATAAACGCTAAACAATATCTTTTATATCTTCATAGTTAGGCAGCAGGTCTGATCCAGAGCAGCATTATCAGCTACAACTTTCATGTATTTCTTTTAATATCCTGAAGGAATAAACTATGACAATACATTCTGACAATAAACTATTAAGGACTGTATTGCTCCTCTGTACCAACACGGCTCCATGGTAATCAGTTAAGCAACAGAATAAGCCAAACTGTAATACAGGAATTACCAAGCCTAAATCAAGAATCTATTTTTGCTTCCAGTAGGCTCCACACCAGGTAAACAATTTGAAAACAATTTTGTGGCATACCTCAGACAGACTAGTTCTTGAGGCAGAATGACTAATTTGTTCTTCAAATATATCATCATGTTTTAAGTTATAAAAATACACCATCCCACATAAAAAAGTGGTGTGGTTTCTATTTATATTACAGCCACTTGAAACTAAGCACAAAATTGTTTCAACCACGGAACCACATACAATGGAGAAGTTTCCATCCAACATGACTCAAGTCCATTGTAAAGGGCACTGAAAAAGAAAAGCAAGGAGGGGAAAAACATAAATCACCTTATGCCAAAATACAGTTTCTTTTCGGACTAGTAAATTGGCCATATATTAACATGAAGCAAGAAGTCACATTTAGAGTTGTCCAGCAAGTCAACATAAATCAAAATTTAAAACAGTAGTAGACATTATTGTAACATTAATAGATTCACAGTCATTTAAAGCATTTGATATTTCACATTTTGGGGAAAAAAATCAAAAGTCTTGGGTAGGCATGCTTCCCTGTAATCTAAAGAAGGCAAAGGAGGAGGAATGTTTGTGGTTGTTGGTGTCATCCAAAGAAACTGGTTATCTGTTGTATGTAAATAAAGTTTTTACTAATTTCCAAACAAAAACTGCCTATATGAGTCCAGAATGAAAATAGGAGACAAGAAACATTTTAAGAAAGTTCCCAAATTCCTCAGTCATTGCTGTCATGTCCATGACAAGGGTTTTTTTCCTCTTAAAAAAGTTTTGGATGAAGCCGAAGATAGTATTTGCTGGCTAGCTGCTGAACTTCTGTTAGATTTCTACCTAGTTTAGGTTACTGAAGAATTCAGCCTTTGCTAATAGCAACAGGATGTTATTCAACATTAGTCTTCTTTTCCTTATCCTATCCTTAAATTATGGATTGCAGTTGGCCGAAACCAGAGATATTCTTTCAGAATACTGGCGGTATTTGTTAGTTTTCCTCTCAGTTAATCAACCTCTGCCTCCTTAAAATTTGCCTTGTTATATTATCCCCCAGTTTAGGACAGACAAAGGGGATTTGAACTTCTACAGAAGGTACTATTTGCAAATGCCCATTAATCTTCCCAGCTTTGAGAGTAAATCATGAAACAGATCTGTAGTATTTAAAACAGGTATCTCCTCCTGTGTAGTTAATTTTTAGCTGGGTTGTTTTCCTAAGAATAAAATCAGTCTGTTAAAACAAGCTGTCCCTTTCATCTTTGAACAATCTTCTCCTTTTCTAATCTGAGAAATTATTTCCTATTGTATTTCCTATTCCTATTTAAGAGCAACAAAGCTGGTGAAGGACCTGGAGAACAAGTCTTAGGAGGAGCGGCTGAGGGAGCTGGGGTTGTTTAGTCTGGAGAAGAGGAGGCTGAGGGGAGACCTGATCGCCCTCTACAACTCCCTGAAAGGAGGTTGTAGTCAGGTGGGGCTTGGTCTCTTCTCCCCGCTAACTAGCAATAGGACAAGAGGAAACAGTCTCAAGTTGCGCCAGGGGAGATTCAGGCTGGATATTAGGAAGAACTTCTTCACGGTAAGAGTCGTTAGGCATTGGAACAGGCTCCCCAGGGAGGTGGTGGAGTCACCATCCCTGGAGGTGTTCAAATAACGTTTAGATGTGGCGCTTCGAGACGTGGTTTAGTGGGTTTAGCGGGCATGGTGGCATCGGGTATACGGTTGGACTTGATGATCTTTGAGGTCTCTTTCAACCATAATGATTCTATGATTCTATGATTCTTGAGAAACACAGTCCATTCATTTGTGGGGCAGGGGGATACAGCATATTTCTACAGGTCACATAAAATGCAAAGCCAGTAGTTTACACCAAATCAGCTATGTGCATATGTATGTGTGGTCTTAGAAACCAAAGTAATATAAATATCAAAGAGTAATTTGTGTGTTTTGCTACTTCTGCTTTTAAATGAACAGTTTACAGTCAATAGTACAGCTATAGATGTGCCATGTTTTGAATTCCCTTATTATCTGTGTGGGTTTTTAAAAATTATTTCTGATCTACCCACTACTGTGGCATTGGGTGCACCATACATAAAAGAATGCTTCAATTTATAAATGTCCGCAACCATCAGTACCATTCCAATTAACTATCCATCAGAAAACAAATCAATGATTAGGAAAATAAGTCTTTGTTTAGAGGTATGCAGCCAAATCTTGATGGAAATGATTGGCCTTGCAATATGTTCTGAAGTCCAACAAAGTAATTCCAAATTCAGTCTGTCAGAGTGCCAGAAGGAGCAAATTCCAAAGGCAGAGACCTCAAACAACTGGCATGCTTATGTTGAAACCTCAGAGGTGCAGATCCTGTGATTCTTAGACGCATTAAATCTATCACCTGAGATATTAGACATAATGAGATTTTTAAAATATCTATTTTGTATATTACACATTTATTTATCTATAAACACTTGTACAGGCTCTCTAACAAGTTCTACTGGTACAGAATGGCAGAGGATCTGTGAAAGAGAAAGGCTACAGTTTGCAGCTCTGTGTGTTGCACCTCACACCACCTGACTGGCTGCAGCCCACAAACTGTCTCTCATGCTTTTCTCTTCTGGTCCCGGGCTACAGTTTCCTGCAGACCTCTGACAGTGTGATTGAACTGTATTGGGGTAGAAAATACTCTTGATTACAGGTTTCAAAGCTTGCCAGTTTTGCTCTTATCAGCTACTTTATGAGTCTTCCCCCTACAAAGAAAAGCAAGAGTCCCTGGACTCAGAGAAGTTCTATCTGCTATAACTACATATGGTCAAAAAACTCTTTCCAAAAATTAGGTTGTTTCTATTTAATTTAAAAACATGACAAGTAGTTTTACTCACAACCATGGTGAAAATATATAATATTAGAACTTTATCTAGGAATATGATTTTCACAGAAGTTTTCCACAAGAAAAAACTGCTCTACTTAACAGGCAATAAAAGGATGGAAATCTAAATTTCCACCTTTTGTAAGCTCTTTGAATACTTTTGACAGCTC